TAAACAGGAAGTACAAGGCCCTCTGGTATAGCATTACTTAGGCTGTGTTTGCAAGGGTGCTTTACCAGCACAGCTGAGGTCTTATCATTCAGGGTAATGTGGTCTTTTAAGAAAACCAGAGATATCTGAATGAGTTTCCTTTTACTGTCCTAACCTATCTTTTATCAGTTTCTATATAATGCTTTCAGGAATGAGAAAAGGAGAAGCAATGAATTTGAATAATTACCAGACCTGGACTTTTTCTAGCATTGGGTTTGTACAAAACACAGATTTTAACAACATACCTCTGAAGAATTTCTCTACACATTCTTAAGGATGAGTGGATATGAGCTTTTGTGAGAATAGTGTCTCAATACATTCAGCTTGATCGCAGACAGCCACTCGGCTCTTCAACTCCCAGGATAGTATGTACAGAGTGAGCCCAGGGCAGGTGTCCATGGAGTGAAGAAGGTCATAACCTGAACTTGCCAAGTTAGAAAATCTCAAGCATCAGGCTTGGGGAAAAAAAAATTGGAAAACAAAAAAGTAACAAAAAGAAAAGTAAAGAAAATTTTTCTGTTAATTTTGTTTTAAGATTAAAGCCTGAAATACTAACAAGTATTTCCCTAAGAGCTACTTCTCTCAAAGCTTTCCTCATTCACCTTGTCAAAATGGCAAAAAAAAAAGCCATTTTGCCCATTTATTTATTTGGAAATTTAAAGTATAAATATTTGACTATATCCAGAGGCACTTGTATGGTCAAATTTTCCAGGGCCTTTAAATAAGTCTGATATGACCAGGTAGGCAAGAACTTTATTCAGTTTTATTCTGTATCTGTTTTCTAGTTGCTCAAGTTCCTAAAGATGTTGCTTTAGTAGAATGGAATAAAACATTAAAGTTTTCATGTCATAAAGAATACTCTTAAATTTATTCTGATTCAGAGCAGGTTAGTCAGTTTCACACTATTGTAACCCCACAAGCTATGTTGAGGGTATAGATTCAGATTTGGCTAACATTGAATAAGCACCATCCAAGAACCAGACATTTTACTAGAGGATTTTAGTAAGCTACATTTAAATACATAACATTATAATGTGTATGTATTTAGATCTCCCATAAACTTGTGAGTTAGCTGATATTCCTTCCAGGGGGTAAATTTCTGCTTTCTCCAGGTCATGAGCTAGTAGTAATAACCTTAGCGACCATCTATTTAGCTTTTACCTGGTACTGGACACTGCGCTAACAGTTTTGCCTGCATCATTTTATTTAATACACACAGTAACCTTATGAGGTAGATGGTTTCAAATCCAGAGTCCACAAACATGGGACTTACTGTCGAGAGGTAGCTTCCTCCAGATCATGTGGCCAGGAAGTTTGGGGACCCTGTGCTTCCAGTGTGATGTGATGGCGTGGTTAAAGCTGACAAGTCTGCCTCAGTGGCAAATGGTTGCTCATACTTGACCCTGAGGTCTCCAGTGAGCAATTGTGTGTATTCCTAATGATATGTTTCCTGCAAATGTTTAAAGCAGAGGAGTCATGGGTACTTCTTGCTGCCAGGTTACTAGAAGATAAAGGACAACCTTAAACAGTGCGATTGATAGTCCCTCTGCAGGAGGTATACTAACAAGGACACATGCGTATGTCCACACATAGCTTCTGCAGCCTGTTCTTTCTCTGGATCTCTCATTAAACGTAAAGAAGGAAAAGCCAGCTGAAGACTGAAAACTCCCAGACACATTTTTAAATGTCTGTTACTGACCATGTTAATTCCCCTGATGCAGAGGATCAGCTAGAATTTGATACATGGGAAGGAGAATCAAGAAGTGAAAATCCAAGTGACATAAAACGATCAATCTGCTGAAACTCCCTGAAACCAAGTATGGGACACAGACTGTCCCAGTAGCAAGTGGCTAATTCTAAATAAGCCAGACTCTTAGGGCAAAGAGTTTCTTTGCTTCATAAGCCATAGTGCTTAGCAAACAGAGCAGATGGAGTGCAGTGTGTTTTGGATTTTCCATTTGACCTTTCCAGAATCCTAATTAGGAATATTGCAAATTCTGTACAAACAGACCATTCTGCAGTTGGTTGCCAAAATATTTGCATTATATGTGTAGATACAAATAGTGACCAATATCTCTTGTAGACCAAGCTCCCAATTGGAATTAATCATTTTTTCTTCTGTGAGCCTAAATGAATTAACTTTTAATCTTATTTATTGACTCTACCATATTCTGCCAATATATATTTATAGAAGTGCTTTTTTATATATTTATTTTGAAGTCTTTCTCTTTAAGCAGCTACTTATTAAAATAAATGTATAAAGTTTATACTTTCTACTGTTCTTTTGATACTGGTCTTTTGGTATTTTGAGAGCCAGTGTGCTTTAATAGCTTGTCTCAGAGGAAAACTGAAGAGATAGAGGGAATTTTATGAGCAGAATGGTCACATATGCAAAACTTAACAGTAGTTAATGACAGTTCATATTTGAATCCTATTTTAGTTTAGTCATGACCTTTATTATTTATCAGTCATTCCATGAAAAAGGAGCACTGACTATCTTTCCCCCTCACTCCTTGCCTTTATGCAAAAAAATGTACTGCAAAAAGACCTCCACTGTCTTGTGACAGGAAGCTCATAATATTGCATTAAAATAATCTGCTCAGGAAGAGCAGCTGCCCAGACACCATCCAAACAGTGCCTGTGATTTCATAGATGTTGTTTTCCTGCAAATGCACAGACAGGTCAGACATCTCAGCTCAGAGTCGAGATTCACTTTGGCAACTTAACTTTGGCAACTACTGCCCTACCTTGAATTCTGTGGTCACATAAATCATCTTGATTTTGATCACTAGAAATGCTAGGTAGAAAAAGAAAGAATGCTGAGCAGGTTTTGGTATCAACTCTGCTTCTGATTGACTCTGTAATCCTGAGCAAGAAACCTGGCACGGCATGCTTCGGAATCCCATCCAATGTAAAGAGGATATACAAGTACACCTATTGTATGATCTTGTATGCTTTTAAGTGAACAAATGGAATAATGTAAGAAGCGTACTCTAAGTTTTTTAGGAAAAAAATGGTAATAAAAATCTAGGTTTTGTTAATAGTATTTTACGCACACTTTCTTTTGGGAATGGATTCACGTTTGGTTTAATTGTTGAGGCCAAGCATCCTTTAACCTATTTTGATTCTTTCTGTGACCTTAATGAAACAGAAAGCACTGTATAAGCAAACAGACAGTTTTCACGCGTGCTTGTTTTACAGAGGACATAGGGAAACCCTGACAACAGCTTGCTTTACGTTAAAAGTTCAACAATCCAGAGCCTTCAAAGGTCAGAATGGATTGTAAAACCGAGAAGGATCCAAGCTGAGTATTTTCTTCCCTTTTATTTTCTTTCCTTACTTCATTTTGTTTGCCCTTATCTGCTGCAATTCATTTGTGGCTACAAATTATATGGCCCCTTTTCTAGCTTCTTTTATTGACAGTAAACAAGTAGTTTTTCAGCTTTATTGAAGTATGATGCACAAAATTTTAATATTCCTAAAGTGTACAACACTATGATTTTCATGTACATGCACATCGTAAAAGGTTTCTCATCGAGTTAGTTTACATATCCATCACCTCAAATATTTTATTTGGTGAGAACACAAGTTCTACTCTCAAGAAATTTTAATTATGAAACACAGTGTTATTAATTATAGTCACCATGTTTTACATAGACCTTATTCACCTTATAGCTGACGGTTTTTACCCTTACCAACCCCTCCTTATTTTCCCCAGCCCCAGTCCCTGGCAACCACTGTTATACGGTGGTTTAATGAGTTTTTATGAGTTAGGCTTTTTTTTTCTTTTTTTAGATTATACCTATAAGTGATGCTGTGCAGTATTTGTCTTTGTCTGGCTTATTTCACTTAGAGTATGCTTCACGTTTCTCTATGTTGTTGTGAATGGCAGGATCTCCTTCTTTTTAAAGATTAAACAATAAACAATTATTTTCAAGTTCCTATTAGTTACCAACTGGGCATATTCTAGGGAAAAAGCAGTAAGCAAGACATCTTCCTTTCATTCTTTCCTGATGGATCTTATGCTCTAAATTTTAGAACATACATACATCTGTTTGGTTCTTCTTAACAGTTTATGTAGGCAATATATAAACCATGGCAAGCTGAAAGGGTAGGCTAGGATCTTGGGGAGGGGGTGGTGCTTAGGGACCAAGCAATAATTAGCAATTTGGATGTTCAATGAACAATGTAATCCTCAAAGATGAAAACCTGATGAGTGTTAACACAGAATATCTCCACAATTAGGGGTTTTCTAAGTAACAATTTATTTTATGCATTAAAGCTTCACATATTAGGAAAAAGGCTCATCTGATAAAGAAAATGTTTTAATTATAGAATACTTTTTAAACATTACATTTTAATTTAGACTTATAGGTAGAAAAAATGAAATACTTCCTAGAGGAGGGTTGGTTTAATAAAATTGCCTCTTCTGCAAGTGATATCTATGTGTGTCAAATTATATGAAATAATTTTTAAAGTTAAATATTCATCTTATATAATTTATTTGGTACTATTTATTGTTTTCACACATTTTACAAAGATATAATTTCTCACAGTCTAAATTTCTAAAAATTTTAAATTTATTCTTACTAAGTAAAACTTCAGTTTGTGAGATTTAATTCTACATGAAGCTAGTCACCAACTTACTCACTGAGTTACAGCTATTTCTTCCACCAGGCAAAATATGAAACCTGAAACAAATCAATTTTAATATTGCCCCATTAACTATTTTCTTTTCTCTTTCATCATATGAGAGCACAACAGATGCATCCAAATTCTTGGTTACCAGCATTTTGTCTAGGTGGAAGGCGAATGTAGTTATACTAAAGATAAATGCATTGTGCACTTACGTTGTTACTAAAGACATTTTTAATGCCTAGCCCTGCTTCTTTAGACTACCAGTTAAGCACTTTGGTTATTTTCATCTTTTTTTAATAGTGAAAATTGTCTTTGTCTTACAGTTAATATCTCAGTATCTAATGACACCACATTGGGTCCAGAGGACTTGCCAAGTGCATCTTCTACTGATGCGGTAAGTGACTTCCAGTCCTATTTTGAACCACATGCACATGCGCATATTGTATGCTGTAATTATTATATTCATAATGTGGCATCTCCCACCATTCAGCAATTCTAGCCTGAACCCATGTTTAATAATTGGTGATAGTGGAAGGACAGAAAAATACCACTTTTCTTGTTCTAGGTAGCTTGTTTTTCCTTTTGCTTTTTAAACTGAGGTGAATGTTTACTTCTACTATATGCTTTTTAAACCTGCCTAGGAATTTAACTACTCTGTCCCATTAATTGTCACCTTGAAATATTCTTTTGCAAGATAGAGTGCAGGAAGCCGAGAAATGAGAGCGTGGTGCCCTCTCTCTGTTGCTAGTATGATTAGGAATTCTTCTGACTACCAAATGGTGCTGTGTTCTCTTCACTAAGGGCAATTGTGGCAGGACGTTTTCCCTGTCACTTAGGGAAAACTGTGCCTGTGTCACATGATATCTTTTCCCATGGCAAGTAACCAAGGATCTTTAAGAGACTTGAACGAAGCTTTAAAAATGAGCTGTTTTGCATGGAAGGTCACACACTGGAGGGAGACTTTTGTGTTGGAGAAAAAGAGGAAAGTGTTCTTTCAGACTTCCAATTGTGTTTCTTCTACATTGGATATGAACTCCTACCAAAGAATATCAATCTCTCACTTAGGACAACAGAAACCATAATACCTTGCATTGATAGAGTGTCCTTCTCTCAGGACAGCGGGACCCTTCTGCAGACATTATGCACAACATCCCTTCCAAAGATGATGTATTGCATCTTTCCTGGACTATTCTCATTTGACCCTGTTTCTCTCTTGTTTTCATATTCCGTGGCTCTTTTAACTTTAAAAAAACTTTCTCCAAATTTTTCTTCTTTATTTCTTGAATATTTGAGTGTGTAAGTGTATGGATGTATGTGAAAGAACATGCATGTATCTTTTAAAAGCCACATTGAGAAAAGAGTTCAGTTTTTAGACTTTGAGCCAGCCAGCCTATTGCTTTGATTAAAGGACTTGATTAAAATATGAAGAAAAATACTTTCTTCTAGATCCTAAAGAATTATAATTAAAATCTAACAAAAATTTTAAAAATATATGTAATTAAAACCATAAGTTAATTTGCAGTAAAAATTAATAAAAAAAACTCCCACTAATTTAACAAGAGATTGTTTCTAGTTTTTTTGGAACTAATCAAGGAAAGCTTTAAAATTAATGAGTTTTTAAGCCCTGTCTTTGGGCAAGACCTGGAGAGCCTTCAATTATTGATATACAGTCAATATAGTAAGGTGCCAGTATAAGATTCATGGAAAACAAAAAGAAGTTGTGGCTGACTTCTGACGTGACTGTGATAGAGGATATGAAGGCCCAATGATGATTATAATTAATGCCATTTGTGGAACATCTACTAGAGACAAGGGGTTTGACATCTTATAGACATTGTAAACCTTAATATGTATTACAGTCATTGACATAAAATACCAGGCATAACTATCTCCACTTTATAGATGAGAGAAACTGAAATTTCAGAAGATAAGACACCATTCTTGCTCTAGGTCACATAGTCATAAATTAGTAGAACAGAGATTTCAGGTGAAGTCTGCGAGGTTCCAAGACTCGCGATATTGGTGCTTCAGTGGACACGTGGAAGTGTCCATTCTGTCAGTTCCTGTGCACGCTCGGCCCTCCAGGGCGGCAGTGCCCCCATGTTATATCAACTGCACACCTTCGTTAGAATGTTAAGTTGCTATGCTCAGAGAAAAAATAGGAAAAACATACATATAGGTATATAATTATGAGAGGGAACTTTTATTCTGTTTTTCATTTCTCCTTTTCTATCTGTATCAATTCCTTATGTATACTTATACATAGACACACACATATACACACAGACAATACATAGGTAGATGATCTAGAAATGACTACTACAGACGTAATATGATTTATTATCATCAGGAAGAACTACCATTTACTGAGCACCTGCTAATGTAATGTATAGACTCTTTACATTAATTGTCTATAATCCTCACAATAACTTTGTGAGCTATTATGTTATCTGTATTTTATAGATGAAACAGAGGCTTAGAAGGTTAACTGACTTCCAAAGTCCATAGCATCAGTGTATGGTGAAGCCAGGATTTGAACTTACAGCTTTCCAACTCTAAAATTTGCCTATTTCCATTCTTTGGGGAATCACAATAGTGCTTCGTGGGGAAGACATATAGAACCTGAGTTCTCGTGTCAGACTGCCTAGTTTCTAATGCAAGGCGTCACTGCCTAACAGGGTGTGGAATCTTCTCAGTGTCTCATCTGTAAATGGTGACACAGTAATAGCATTGACGTCAAGGATACTATAGGGTGGGGCAAGAGTAGGTTTACAGTTGTGAGTATGTGAAACAGCTTATTCTTGTATTATCATTTATTAATTATTGTATTTTTTTCATACAAACAGCTATAAACCTACTTTTGTTCCACCCTGTATAAGGGTCAAATAAAAAAATAGATAGGAATTAGCATAGCGACTAGCCCATTCTTAGCTCTCAATCATTGTTAGGTACTGTTATTATTCCGTTTAGATATTACTATCACTCCAGTAGGCCATGCTGCCTCCTAACTCAGATTGGCAGAGAGAAGAAATTGGAAGTCCCTGCTTCTGTCGGGCCACTGAGACCTCTCTCTGCCCTGCCCTAGCTCTGCCCCCCTGAACATGCAGCCATCGGCACTTCATTGCCTTCTTTTCATTTCAGCTGAAGTTAGATCATGAAGGAAGGGGCTGCAAAAGTGCCACGCCGCCCTGTAACACTAGCAGGACTCCCTCTCCCAAGGCCCTGAGAGCCCCCTGTCCGAGGAAGGCAGGCCTTTCCCTTCAGCTTCATTAACATGAAAACAAGCTTTCTCCTTCCCAATGACAGGGGTGTGTTCTCAGGGGAAAGGAGCAGGAGAATCAGGGCAGTAGAGCATTCAGACAGACTGAAACTCTAGAATAACCATCCCTTAAGAAGAAAGGGAAGGTTTTCTGTTATTTTCATTTATTGTTGGAATCATTGTGTCTTTAATTTTTCTGACCTTCATCAGTTTTCCCATAGATTTCTCCTTTGCCATATTTCTTCAACTTGTAAACAGAACTCTTTAAAAGGTCCCTCCAAAACTTTGAGACCCACCGCAGTTGGTCTGCACCGTGTATCTAACCAATAAGCATTGCAGTCTCTTGGCTTCCACTGGGCAGCTCTCACAGGGAAAGACCAAATTTCAAAATCTCAGGTCTGTCTCTTCTGAGGAGGTGATAGAATGGATTGTGGGAACAACTTTGCCCACCAAGTCCCCCCATCTGCCATGGATGAAAGTGAAACTACCAACACATGATCTGCTTGGGGAGGAGAGGTGGCCAGTCTTTCAGAGGAGAAAAGCCAGGAGCCTCTTCTTTTTTTTTAATATATTTTATTGATTATGCCATTACAGTTGTTCTATTCCCCCCTTCATTCCCCTCTACCCTGCACACCCCTCCCCCACCATTCCCCCCCTTTAGTCTATGACCACGTGTCTCAAGTTCTTTAGATTCTATATTCCCCATACTATTCTTGCCCCCCATCTATTTTCTACCTACTGTCTATGCTACTTATTTTCTGTACCTTCTCCCCCCCTTCTCCTCCCACTCCCCTGTTGCTAACCCTCCTTGAGATCTTCATTTCTATGGTTCAACTCCTGATCTAGCTGTCCTTTTAGTTTGCTTTTGTTTTAGGTGTGGTTGTTAGTAACTGTGAGTTTGCTGTCCTTTCACTGTTCTTGTTTTTTTAACTTCTTTTTCTTAGATAAGTCCCTTTAACATTTCATATAATAAGGGCTTGGTGATGATGAACTCCTTGAATTTGGTCTTATCTGAGAAGCACTTTATCTGTCCTTCCATTCTAAATGAAAGCTTTGCTGGACAGATCAATCTTGGATGTAGGTCTTTGGATTTCATGACTTGGAATACTTCTTTCCAGCCCCTTCTTGCCTGGAAGGTCTCTTTTGAGAAATCTGCTGACAGTCTGATGGGAACCTCTTTGTAGGTGACTGTCCCCTTATCTCTTGCTGCTTCTAGAATTCTCTCCTTCATTTTAATCTTGGCTAATGTAATGATGATGTGCCTTGGTGTGTTTCTTCTTGGGTCCAACTTCTTTGGGACTCTCTGAGCTTCCTGGATTTCCTGGAAGTCTATTTCCTTTGCCAGAATGGGGAAGTTCTCCTTTATTATTTGTTCAAATAAGTTTTCCAGTCGTGGCTGTTCCTCTTCCCCTTCTGGTACCCCTATAATGCGGATGTTGGATCGTTTAAAAATGTCCTGGAGGTTCCTAAGCCTCTCCTCATTTTTTTAAATTCTTGTTTCTTCATATTTTTCTGTTTGGTCATTTTTTCCCCCTCTTTCTGGTCCACTCCTTTGATTTGAATGGAAATGCACAGGAAACCAATAGTAGTGGCCAGGAGCCCCTTCTTCAACAGCTTTTATTGGGTTTGTAATACACAGGAGTACAGGTGGCAAGGATCAAACAATAAATAACATTTCAAAGAAATCTAAGGGCTTAGTCTGAGTCAGTGTCTGTCAGGAAAGGGGGTCACAGAAACTTTGGGAGACACATTTCCTGCTCAGACCCTTACCATATGAATGAAAGCACTCTTAGCAAAGCAGCCTTCACAGGACTTTTAGCAACCCTTTCTTTGCCTCATCACCCCGGATCCCTAGCTGGCAACGGGCTGCACCACCGCCCCACACAGGTTTTCAGGCTTAAGTGGATTAGAGCCAGGAAGCATTTCTCCCAGAGAACATGGGGACTCGGGCTATGTCAGAATAGCAGGGGGGCGAGGGTCCATCACTCCCTCTTTGTTGCAGCCCCCCAGAGTCCTTCCATGATGGCCTCCCAGGTGATCATGTCTGGCTTAGGTTGTCCCTCCTCTGAGGAGTCTTACCCATCACTGACTATCAGACCAAGCACTGGGGGCAGGGAGAGGAAACTGAGGCAGCTTTTGATACCAGAGACAAGTTTTGTCTCCTAAGTGGCTCGCATTCCGGAGGTCACTCACTCAGCCTTAGCCATGGGGGGCAGTTACAACTCCTGAAACCAGGCAGAGCAGTTCCCAACAATGGATCAGTTAGTATTTTTTTTATGTCAGATTCATTTTTGTTGTTGTTTTTTTTTATTAAATCGAGGCATGTCTTAAAATGTACAGTTATTTTGTTCATTGCGATGAATTTTGACAATTTTATACACTCCTTTAACCACAGACCAAAACAAGGTCAGGAATATTCCCCTTGTCCCAGAATATCCCATAGAATGCTCTAGGTCTTCTTGCATGTTCCAGCTTTCTGAGCCTTGGGAAATCTTTCTTTGCCCCAGTGCTCTGCCTCCAACCCTCAGAGGTCAGACAGATACCTTAGTCCTTTCTAGTCAAAATGCTCAAATGCCTCGAAGTCTCCCATCTTAGGACAGTGGCATTCTTGCATTTGGCGGGTCTGTCTAAGGGGGATTTCCAGCAGCAATCCTGTCTGACCTCCAGCCTTTCATGTGCTACTTGGGCACTTGGCAGAGACTGTGAGAAAGTTTAGTAGGTGGGTGCAGGCTCCATCTATGCCTAAGGCTCCTCAGAATTCTCATCATTACTACATGGAGCTATTAAAAAGTCATTAAAGATTGGCTTATTTCTCCTTACCTCCATCTGCAGTTGATTTATCTTTCAACTGCTACTTTGCTAGGGTGAGGCAGCCTATGAAGAACTTGTAACTTTTTGGATTTTTTTTTTAGGTTCCTTTGCATCTTCATCTCTGGTAGATTTTTTAAAACTATGATTATCCAGCTTGCTTTGGCTGTTAGCTTGGGAGTGACAGCCTCCTGCAACTTTCTATGTTTTAGCTAATTACTTTAGACATCTTACAATAATACATATATACAGACAAGTGCAGCTCAACTGCATCCTGTCCATCATTAAGTAAGATTGCAGATTACTGCAAATCTGACGCACCCACTGCAGGGAAAAACCCTGATGAGTACATGTACTGTTTAACCTTGAGACTTTGTTTGTATCATTACCCTCATTTATAAATATTTAAAAAGGCACATATTTTACCAGTCTATACTCAAAAAGAGCAATGTAGAAGTTTTCATTTTTATTCTTTATTTTTATTTTTTGCTTATTATATTGCCACAGAAGCATATCACATCTACATGGAGATGCTGTTAATCATGGGGCTAAGAAGTATTATAGTCTCATGTATTCTGCTTGGCAGTCAGACATAAAAGCAGAAGTGCTTTGACTTGATATACCTTCAAGGCAATTCTAGGAGTTAGAATTCATTTTAATAGGGAATGGAATGTCATATTTATCTTCTTGTGCAGAGCATCCTTGTGATTTTCTCTCACTGAGAATGTCAAGTGCAAAAACCAGTCCTTAAGTATCTTTGAAGATTACATGTTCCGACTTTTTAAAATAGTGAAAAATGGAAAACATGCAATAGTACAGTGGATACCACACACATACCACCTAGCCTCAAAGACTGTCAACATTTTGCTCATCCTCTCTCATATTTCCCCAACTTTGTGTTTGGAGAGGATGCTATAAGATTTTAGATTTTAAAATTGATCTTTTAGTATACATTCAACTTTTAAGAGTTAGAAACAAACCCATTCAGTATAAACTGGGTCTCCAGAAAAACAGACTAAAATCTCTTTTTATGAGATTGACATCAGTTAAGATCCTGAGGAACTTGGTCCCATTTACTTTACATGTTTTTTTCTCACTACGCATGAGCACAATACGCTTCGACCCCTCTGGTTCACTCACTACCAGTTTCTCCACATGATGAGCATTCAGTAAGTTTAGAGTAAAGGACTTACTGGATAAGTGAATGAAGCATCGTATGTAGCAAGAAAACATCGCTGTCATTTTATATACATCTGTATAGTTTTTGTTTCAACCTGGATCTCTGCAAGAAAATCAGTAAAACTTCCTGTTGGGACTGTTTTAATGCAGCTTAACCTCTTTGGGCACAGAGGTTAAGTTACATGCTAGTTACAAAAAAATGCATTCTGTTGATATCAAAGAGCTGAGCTGAAATTATGGTAAATCTTTGCTGATTTTAAAACAAAAAACTCTGTAACCTATTATGACCACTAAAATTTAAATGTATTCTGCTAAAAAACACCATTATGCAGAAATTGAAGAACAAAATGAGACATGGTCACCTCTTACCAGCAGAGTTTGATAAAAGGGCAATTATTCAACTCAGCTGTTTGCAAGTTGAAATTAATATAGAACAAAATATTTTAGGGCAAGATGTAGAGGTTTTTTTTTAATTGTGAAAAGTAGTGTGAGCACTTCACATGTTGAACTCTATAAATATATAGAACTCCTTCTAGTCAGAGAGTCTTCTTTTTTATGGAGGATCTCTTATGACTCATATCATTATATCATGAGAATTCAGTGAATGCTAAAGGGTATTGATGATGCATTTGGTTTGAAGTAGAACTGGACAGAAGAAATTCACCTTTCCACATTTATTTGCAGAGTATTCTCAAATAAATCTTCTGTAAGCAAGCGCGTGCTATACCCATTAGCCCTGGGCCCAAGACCAAGTCCAACATCATGGCATCGGCAGACTCAGTATCTAGTGAGGACCTGCTTCCTAGTTCACAGACAGACTTCTTTTTACTGTGCCCGCCTATAACAATATAAGGGGCAAAGGAGGTCTCTGGGGTCCCTTTTATAATGTAAGAACTCTAATCCCATCCATGAAAAGGCTCCACCCTCATGACCTAATCATCCCCAAAAGGTCCCACCTCTAAATATCATAACATAGGGAATTAGGTTTCGACATGAATTTTAGGGAAGCCCAAATATTCAGTCAATAGCACTCCCCAGTACTGCTGGCCAGTAACTGGCTGCCAGGGCATGACACTCCAGGCGAAGTCGCTCTTCTGAGGCTGAAGGCAGTTTCTAGAGAAGGAGGGAGAGCTGTGAACTGATGGCAGCTAAAACTCAGAGCAGCTGGGAGGGCTTTTTTTCATAACGTTAGCAAAAGGATTCTCCTGCATAATGGAAATAAAAAAAACAAGAACAGGAGTGAGCTTCTCTTGAGAAGCACAGCACAGGCAACATGCCACGGGCCTATGAGCTCGCGGCCGTGTTACACAGGGCTGGGTGGGTAGATACCCCTTGCACACCTCCACAGCCCAGGACAGCACGTTCTGATAAGTAAATGCTCATGATGCAGAGCTGGAGTCAACAAGACAAATGCTGTATTTTAGTAGGATATGCAATTGAAAAAACAGGGACCATCAACATTTTATACTTCAATTCCCTAAATCACTAACTCTAGTTATTTAGAAAAGAAACAGCTCATTTATGAAAATGCTGGGTAAGTGAGTAGTGAACCTAATATAACTTTTTAGAGCGTCAACCCATGGCTCATCAGCTCGAAGCATAAGGAGCTGCTCACTACAACAGTAAGTACTTTGGAACAACAGAGGTGTTTCAGAGAGTCTCATGTTTTGAGGCTTAGGATATTATTGTGTCTCAGTTTACTCTCAGGAAGGTTGACAGGAAAGAAGGACTTTGTGGTTTGTTCCTGTTGAACAAATGAGTGATTGTAGGGCTGTAGCTCAAACCAGGTAACAGACCGCATTATTCGCATTGTATTTTCAGTAACTGCTGCCCTCCCGGGCCCTCATACCTGTTACTTCATTAGCACCTCTCAGGTTTCACCCTGCAGTGTTAACTTCAGGCTGTTTTACAGAGACTTTTAGGGTAACCCATGCACAGCACATCAGGCATCCAAAACTGCTTTGGACGTGTCGGTGTTCTCTAGAAAAATGTCCATGTTTTTCTTCTTTAGTACCATAATGCCACTTTTGACTGGGCTCTTCTGTCGAAGAAGGAGTGTGTGAAACGTGGAGGAACGCTCGAGGGGAACAACTGCGATTTTGTTCCCGATATCACGCTCATGTCCTTCATCCTCTTCTTGGGCACCTACACCTCGTCTATGGCTCTGAAAAAATTCAAAACTAGTCGTTATTTTCCAACCACGGTAAGTACCTGAGCTGGAAATAATTTTCATCGAATGTACACTGTATCAACAATAATACAATTTGATGTAAGGAAAGGGTACCTGTAATTCAACCTTTCTGATATAATTTTGGGCATTTAAAAAATTGCTTTTCAGTCTTGGTCCATATGTATCCATATTTTTGAAATAACTGTAGTCCAACTTTGAAAAATCTTCCAAGGATTTTGCTCACATAATTCTGTTATAAAGTCTGACCCTCGTAATTCTGACTATACTAAAATGAAAAAGTGGGGCACAGTCTATATAAAAATGCATGAATTAAGAAAGCATCTTTTAAATCCATAGTGTTTGACCATGCAAGCAAAAACTCACTTCATATTAATCAGGAGTTTTGACAGAATTTCTTGCTCATCAGCCATCCCTATGAGTAATTTAGTGGTTGAATTATGGGCCATGGGGTAAAACTGTGTTGTTACACAAGTACTGGTGGAAGACACCTGTGTTATCTGAGCCAGCCTGCCCTGCCCACAGTGCTGAACGCCGGTGTGTTTAAAAACCGGTAGCTGAGTTGAGCTGTGCAGATACCCTGTTTCCCATTAATATGCCTGGGTGAGCACAGCATCAGAACTGGGATTCCCTGGGAGACAAGATGAGATCGACATTTAGCTAATGGCATTTTGGTTTTTTTTTATTTTTTTTACCTGAAGAATGAAAGTAAGATAATCCTTTGTTTCACAGTTCAATTCTCAGTGTTTGGGATGTGGCTAATTCTTAAGTAATCTTGATAATGCCTGATTTTTATCAGTGAACTACTTCATACTGGAATTTCATGAACTAATTCCTCTTGTGTTTCATGTAGGAACAAAACACACTGAGGTGAGATGCAGTTGATGAAATTCCTTTTTTCAGTTCCTAGGAAATGAAATTTCAGATTAACATGTTACCTTCACCTAAGTGGCTTTTTGACTGACTCCTCTTATAAAATTGAACATAAAGGGGAGGGTTGGTGGTCATTGTCTTGGTCCGTGTGAACCACTATAACAGAATACCATAGACTTGGAGGTTTATAAACAATGAAAACTTATTTCTCACAGTTCTAGAGGCCAAGAAGTCCAAGATCAGGAGCCACATGGTTGGGTGAGGGCCCTCCTCCTGCTTCATGGCCATCTCCTTTTTGCTGTGTCCTTATGTGGCAGAAGGGCTGGGGATCTGCTTGGGGTCTCTTTTGTAAGAACCCTAATCCCATCCATAAAGGCTTTACCCTTATGACCTAAGCATGCTTCTAAGGCTCCACTTCCTAATACCACCTTCAGGGGGTAGGATTTTAACATATGGATTTTGGGGGTACACACGTTCAGATCCAAGCAATAGTGAAACTGGCTGTCCCAAGGAATGAAAACATTTCCATAAAGTGAAATGTGGAAAGAGGTGTTCAACTTAGTCTGCCTAAGGTTGACATCATGAACTGGTGGTCCACAGGGAGAACTCAGCCCCCAGCCATTCTCGGTGTAGCCCACAATTTGCGCACACACACACACAAGCATCCTCACACCTGAGGCCTTGGGGAATTTGCACTTCCCAGGCAGTGATTATGCTCACAATTTTGTACTGTCTAAGACTTGGCTGATTCACACATTCAGATTAACTGCTTGTCCCTGAAGACACTTGAGGTTGTAACACATTCACACACTGGGAATATGCTCACTCAATCCTTCTTCTCAATGGTGTAAGTTTCCTGTGGAACAGATTCCTGAGGAAAGGTCTTCTAGGCTGATTTCTTCTCTATTGAGGTTTTTTCATTCTTAATTATTAATTCATTGGACATCTTGGGAACCATCACTCGCTTTCCAAAGTCTGATGTTTTATTTAGACACAGGTAGAAAAGTGAAAAATTTGTGAAGTACTTGCAAGTCAAAATAACTAACGATATAAACTAATTTTTTATTCTTTTTCTTTTGGCAGTGGGGCTTTGTCCATGTGTTCTTTAACCTTTAGATGAATAATGAATAGAGATCATTTAACTGTCTATGTAAACCTCACCTTTTTCTTCCAGCAATAATTCCTGAATGGAAAATAGCTCTTTAGACTTAAAGACATTTTGCCTGTATGTGAGTCCAAGCAGGTAATTTTTTAGAGTTTGATAAGTGCTCTTGAGAAAGTCATGAGTATATGAAAATAGAATAATGATAGCATTGTGGTTACAATTCCTGCTAAGAAGGTTCTCAGCATAGTTGAGAACTGTGTACACTGAATAATACAATAAACAGGGAGGAGAAAACCTAGGTGATTTCTAAGGAGCAGTGTTTGAGGGCGTGGGCGGTCAGACTTTCTTCTCCCTTCGTTTCCATGTACAGCTAAATAGTAATATGCATCTATCAATTCACACATGCACACATGAAGAGTAAGGACACTTTTTCCTGCTCATTTGCCAAAATGTGTTTTCACTTAAGCTGTCATTTAGAAGGATGATCTCTATAGGTAGGAGCAGATAGGTTTATAGATTCTTACTCTTATATGCCATATTCTACAATTAAAATTTATATGCTTAAACAGGTAAATTAGATAGTCCTTGATTGTTGTGGTAATAATTAAGCCTGCGACTACTTCCTCACTCACACCGATATGAAACCTTTAAAGTCTCATAATGTCAGTACTAGTTGACAGTGCCTTCGTCCTACAAAACGTCCTGGTCTCCTTTGCCTTGTGCAATCATTTATCTTTTGTACCCTCATTTCAAAAAATTCGTATGAGTTGTTGGTCAATGAAGACTGTAAACTGCTGGAAAATTGTTATACTTCTATTTTATTCCTGTTATAGCAATTAGCAAAATGTTGGATACAGGCTCAATATTTGTTGACTAATGGAAACCAGTCACGTAGAGATAAATGCTGCATTTTATGGAGAGAGCACAGAGTGGAAGTCTAGAAGCCATAGATTCTAGTGGCAGCACTGCCATTGCCTGGCACGTGCCCTTTGAAAACCGACCATGGGCTCAGTCACCGCAGGCACAGAGGGAGGGCTCAGCTCACTGGCAGTTAAGATCCTTTAAACCTCTGGTATTCTGTAATTTTTAAGAGAGTTTCCTGACCTCATCTCCTAAACTAAATAAATTCTCTGTATTAGACTGGTGCTTAGGTAGTGATCAGGACTCACAAGCTTCCAAAAATTAATTAATATCTGTGTCTTTATGCCAGGCTCACTTTCATAACTGCTCCCGACTGCTTTCTGTGGATGCTCCACAGGCGACCTGTGGTTTCCTTCCCACAGTGGAACTTACTCATCTTCCTTTGTTCCTGGTCTCAGCTAATAATGCCACCTATCTTCATGGCCACTCAGGTTCAAAATCTTAAAATCATATTTGATGTACCAGTCAGAGTCCCAGCAGGAAGCAAATGATGCATTCAAATTATGACAGTCTTAGGGGTTTAATAAAGGTATTGCTCACAAAGGTCAGGTTTAGTTTGGGGAAACCAGGGGGGGAGGGTAGTGTCCAGTGCTAGTAGCAGTGAGGTTGCTACTGTCTTTGGCCCAAAGGATGTGAAAAGGATGTGGTTGCTGGAACCTGGGAGAAGAGGGGAGGGTGGAAAGAGCTGTCTAGTAAGGTAATGTGACCTTGGAAAGAGAGATTTAGCCAGCCTGAGGCAACCTCACTGGGATACAGCTCAGGGAATCAGTATCTGATCTCTCCTCCCTCTGATGGCCTATCCAGGCTGCCATGGGCAAGACCCAGCTGGAGTCCAGAGAACGAGGGAGCTCACTGTAGACCACTCAGGTCAGCATTCCCATGTAGTCAGCATAGTAGAAAGGCGTAGAAAATTGATCTATTCCGACAGAAGATGCTGTCCATTGCATTCGCCTCTCCAAGTTTTTCTTTATTAAATTAACCTCATCACAGTCCCCTGGATTTTCTGCTATAATATCTCTCCTTCACACTTATACTGCTGTTTCCCTAGTTCATTTCCTCATTCCTTTTGCCTAAACCAGGGTCAGTTACTTACAATCCATCAATATGAACACTTAAGATGAAAGGGTTCACCTTTGCTAGCTTGGATGTCGGGAGTTTAATTTGTATACCAGTCACTTCCAGAGAGTCTGAATGCTCAGTGGACATGGGTAGAAGTCCAGTAGTCCACTGACTTTGTCCTTTGTGCCCCCCTCCTGTTAGAAGGGTGCATCAGTCTGCTGCCCCCCCATAGTTACTGGTCTGTTACCTTAGCCTCATGTCTTTATTCAAAGTCTTTCAGTATCAACACTCCCTGTGGGAGCATCCCAGTGTAGTCTGTGATCTTCTGTGGCCGATGGCTCAGGGCATTAAACACAAAATGTTCTTCCAGAGTTCCATATCAACAAGTGACCACGTACGTCGCACAAGAACTGCATGGTCTTGTGGCACAATGAAAGCAGAAGCCTAAAGACAGAGCAGAATTGTGATTAGTAGAATTTATAAAGCTATGGAGACCTCTGAATTAGGCAAAATCATTGGTACTTTAATATGTGAAATTCAGTGTGGCCAGCTGATGTATACAGTCAGCATGAAGACGCCTTTCTTCAGGAACTGCTTAATTTTCTCTTTTTGTCCCTTTTAAGATAAGTGATGATTCTAATGCTCATGTGAATTGATGTAATGGTAAGATTCTTTGTAAATTTACCTCTTGCTATAAATGTCATTTAAATAAATAAAGTCAGTAGATTCCAGGTTACATCAACAGCTATGAAAACTTCTGTGCTTTATTTAGGTGGTACAGTTGAGCAGAATGTTCTTTGATGTCTTTATTTTTTTAAGTATTCTCTATTGTATAATTAGTACATTCATTTAATATTGTAACTCTGTGCTTGGTATAGTACTAGATGGTAGGGATACAAAGATAAATTAATAAATGGGCCTAGCACCTAGTAAGACCTTTATATGTGATGTAAAGTTAGATTTTGAGGTTTTCTGATGAGAATGACTCATTTTGATCCTTCTCCCCCAATCATGCATATTATCTCCTGTGGCATCACACTTTGGTGCTTTCTTTGAC